CACTGATGACAATATCTAATCATAAATGATGATTTCATCATAAATATCAATTATTACAGGATCTAAAGATCTACAGGATATTAAATGAAGAATCTAAAGTTTGTTTATACTGTACTTTAGGCAAGTACCTGTGAATTGAGCAGTATAACAACATTGTTTAGTTAAATCAAGATCTATACTCTGGTTAAATCAATGTCTTGCCTATTGCTTTTTTCAAATATGATAAATATATATATATGTTGAAAACTATTTAAATATGAAATTTAAATTATATGTAAAACATGCAAATTGTGGTACAATAACCACTCACTATGCCCAATGTCTTCTCTTGTCACTAGAACCATTAAAATATAATGTGCTATGTCCAATGCAGGAAATAGAGGCCACTTTGCATAATCATCAGCCGCCTGGCTCAATGAGGTAGGCATATAATCCATGGTGGTTTCAGGTAAATCTGCTCTAAATATCCCTAGAAAACAATACAGATTACATGAATTATGAATAATTCATTTCGAAAGTATACAAATTTCTATTTGATAATAAAGTGTATATTGTATCTTGTATTTGGACAATATAACATTTAAACTATAGAAAACGAAGCCAACCACATATTCTCAGATGTGAGTTCTGTGCAGTATGCCATAGACCTATATAGAGATACACATACAGAATATGAGTAGGGCCTATTTATAATTTTTTTTTCAAAAAGGCATAGGCCTAATAATTGTTGAAAACTAGATTTCCCTCATGGTTACTATATGTTGTGTTGTGCATGACTTTCTACTACTATCCTGTTGCGTCCATGTCTGTTTGTGCAAGTCTAGTAGTAGTACTACTATTAGGCCTACTACCACCACCTCCTAGTTAGTAGATCGATGGGGACCTAGGCCTAAACTAGCTTGTATGTAATTGTAATAATTATGCAGGCCTAGGCCCAGGGATGATGTAGGGGCATAGCAACGTAGTAGTAGGTAGGGCATCTATCAAGCCTCGCATTTTACTAACGCCGCCGTACGTAGGCCTAGGCCTCTTGGCCTACTACACTAGGACTAGGACCTACTACTACTACTACTACTACTAGGCCTAGTACGTAGTAGTATTACTAGACGTGACTAGGGCCTAGGCTAGAAGAATAGAGTAGAGAGAACTTTAACAATACAAAAAAAAATACAATCCCATTGTTCAATACTAACAATAATAATAAATACATTCTGTGCTGTGTCTAAACAACAAAAAACATACTTTGTTACTCCTCTAAATTCTGTAATAAGAACTTTATTAGGACCCGATCGATATGTAGCGGAGTCCAAAACAACAACAAAATCAACCTTTAACCTCAAGATATTTTCTCCATCCACAAGAGGGCCCGTCATCCATGTCGTCACACAAAAGTTCAGCGTGTTTTGTTTACTTGTCTCGTGACAGCACATGCCGCAGAGATAAAATAATCATTGTCAACAATCAACGGTCGACTAGCCTACTTCCATGCTACAGTACTTCGAATATCTACGGACTGCGCAGTGTAGTTGAATTAAACACCAGATATTTGCTATTTTTTTAAGGTAATGTCTCATTCATCGTTCTGTAAGTACCGAGCGTATGTGCTCGTTTTATATTAGGTGTTTATAAATTGTATATACTGTCTGTGATGTATGTGATTGTTCAAGTCAAAGGGGGATACAAAAATCAAAACATTTATATTTTATTTTTGAATATTCAATCATGCATGGTGAAATCAGATAACAAAAAATATGAGGCCCAGCTTTAGCTTAAACTACATTAAACAATTATTACGAATGAAATAAGAATACCAAAGCAGAGAAATACCTTAAAACACACCTTTCTTAAAACCGTACTTTTTGGAAGAAAAGTATCGTTAATGATATTCAATTCTGGAAGTATTTTGTGACGAGGCCGTGCTGTGACCTTTGAAATTACCTCATTCCTGATTTGTTATTTTTTTGTCTTTAGTAGACGCCATGATTAGCATCTCTCGGCCCGTTGCAGGATTTTCGATGATGTGGGGGAGGGGTTACGTTTGCTCAGTGATAATGTTCTGTGGTGCGCGGAGTCACTCCCCCCAAAATAACCTCGTGCTCTGCCCGCCCCCAACCCTCGTCTTCCCAAGTCTTTTCCCCATTGAAAATGTCTGAAGCAAAAAAAAAAAAAAATGTCTGAAGCAAAAAAAAAAAAAAAAAAAAATTCATTTGGGTGTTGTTAGGGACCATCTGAATAAGTAACCTGTTATTGTACGTATAAGTCCATTACATCATGGGCCTAGGCCTATTAATATAACATAGCTTTTTGTTCATGAACTGCTCACCGGAGCTGATAATTCTTCAATATTAAAAATTTTACAGCATAATTTTTTTTGTGGGGGTGGGGGGGGTGTGCACCTGCACTTCTCCCTCCACCTCCACCCCCCTGTGGAACTGAATTCATCCCTATGTTTACTTACCATAGTGGGCTTGATTCAGTGACTGATATGTTTAGGTGGGGTGAAAGGGAAACGTATTGATTAACTTTCTAAATTTCTTTTTCTTCTTCTTGCATCACAGAATGCACGATTTGCTACAGGGCCTGCGCAATTTAGAGTAAGATGGAAGATTCCAAGGGTGGTTCAGATATTGGAAATACAGCTGGAAGCACAGATGTAGGCCAACAGCAGGCTATATATGGCGAAAAATATAACAAGGTACATACAAGTTAAATAATAATAATAATAATAATAATAAGGCAAAAAAAAAGTAACTTTTTGTGTTGGCCATGTTTTCAGAAACAGAGCTGTAAAAAGTTAAATTGTTTTTCTGGACCAAGGTCTAGTTTTGCTAAAATAATTGCTAGTACTTTTATATCAGCTATTGAATATTGGTGTAGTTTTAATGTATTTTTTGCTAGCCCAGCACTAAAATACTCAAGTCCCAGACCCAGGACCACCAACTTTTTACAGCCCTGAATAATAATAATAATAATACTAATAGTAGATGATAAGATCATAAGCAAACTCAACCTTTGCGTAACAGCAATACGGTACATATATGTATTGAGCAAAACAGTCACTTTATGATGTTTATACTGTTGTTTTTCAGACATTTCTCCTCAAGGTTTTCATTGCAATAACAGTATTTATGGTCCTTGTGAGTACAATATCTTTATTTATTAAAACCAAGAGCGATAATTAACTTTTAACTTTATGGAAATAAACTATTTTTTTTTATTTTTTTTTATTTTTAGGAATATAGGCTGTTTCTACCACTCACTTTGATTTGTTCTTTCCACCCCCCTTTAGGGACAATTAATATTCCACTATGTAGGCATACATGCCAATAAAGTATATTTCAAAAGTAACTAGCCTACTTCTTTGTTTTGTTTTCTTTTTTTTTTTCCAGTTGGCCTTGTTGTTCTGTATTATCATTGGAGCTAAAGATAATAGAGGAGAGTTATGGCTGCTGATAATTAACCTGTTAATTAGTAGTTTTGTCACACTTACTCTGGTAAGGAAATAATATATTGTTATTAATATAAGGCCAAAAAAATAAATTTTTGTGTTGGCCACGTTTTGGGAAACTCCAAAAAATGGGTAGATCAGTAGGAAAACTTTTTATTTTAGCCAAAAATGCGTTTATGCTTGAAACAGTAGAAAATACACAAATAATACAACAATTTTTGATTCACATCAGGTACCATGCAGCAAAAAAGGCTGTAGGCTAGGCCTTGTCCCTCTAGCCTAGTCCAAAGCTATTACAGCCTTATATTAGCTCACTAAAATAAAACTAAAATGCCAACCTTGAATTTTGTAAAAGTCAATCAGGCATGGCCAACACAATAATTTTATTTATTTGGCCTAAATATGATATTCGAATACAATTTCATCTGGTTTGTTTATGATTGTAGAACTGTTTCATCGATAATGAACCAAGCACAATTTGAAGTAAATTTACTGCGAGCTTTCGTCGATCTCTTTGTCAGGCCATTCAGGCTAGGTTAGTCATTCATGTTGATAACAAACAACGAAAACTCGCAAGTTGTAAACATCAAACTGTGCTTGATTTATTATCGATGAAACAGTTCTACAATTATATAAATATGATTCTAAAATTAGTAGATTTTTGAGGACGAGAATTAATATGTTAATGATGTTTATCTTGTTAGTACACGATTCATCTATACAGAAACTAAATTAAATGTTATGTTTCATTTTCAGTGTTATTGGTACAAAAAGGGAGAACTGGTAAGTATGTATTATACAGGACCATAAATTGTAGAACTGACTGTACAGTATAAAGCATTATTCTATTAATGTTGAAGTCCAAATCACGATGTATAAAGTGAGATTATGTTTAATGTAAACATTATATTTTAATATATATCTAGATACTAGTTCACACAAAGTCAAGTGGTGACTTTGACCGGAATATGACTTAGTTAATATTACTGTAATACTAGATTTCAAATCGGTAAAGATAATTTTAGAGATATTTTAGTGTGTTTTGTATACATTTTTTAAATAGACTATATTAGGCCTACCTTTCTTTCAAGTCTACAAAACCTTAAATATTTTTTGTTATAGGCATCAGATAAAGCGTGGTTTCTGATTCTGGTGGCCTCGATTTTGATATTTCAAACCATCACAACCGATATTTATGTCTTCAATCCCGTTGTGGATCAGCAGAAACCAACGTCTCCTCCTATAATAACAATTAATCCTGTTCCGACAAATACTACGACTACCAACACTACATCGTAGTGTATTGCGAAAGAATAGCTAAACAGTTTGTGGATGTTCTCAACATGTGTCATGAATCAGAGATGTGTGATGTCATATCAGTAGACCTATGTCCCCTTCCCATTACCACCCATGTTTGGTATCTCTCTCAGCTTTGATCGGTCATAGTTACCTTTCAGGGAGGCAGAAATAGGGGAGAGCTTCTACAATATTCCCTATAATGCACCTGGGACAGTTCCGCATTCGATTGCAGTAAAAACACATTTTATACCCATTTGTGGCAGGCCTTAAATGATGAATATCAACATATAAAATATCAAAATTGATCCAGTACCAGTACCTTCAGGGCAGCGTTGGCTGCCAGAAATTTGCCAACAGGGTGTCCGAAATGTTGAAAGTCCGAACCAAACGGCCGACTAGAGCCTCGGTCCGGGTCGCGGAATTAACAAATCCCTGGCCCGACCACAATATTAGGGCTTGGCAATCAAAATAACACGTAAATGGATAGTCACATTATTAATTTTTTTTATTTTGATCCGCCGACTTGGTCATGGCATCAGACAATGGGGGTCCAGGCCTGCGATGGAAAGAGGATCAAACCCCGCTGCCGCCACCACTGTTCCAGGCCCGTAACCAGGTTCATGGGAAGGGGGTAGGGGAGGGTTTCATAGGCAAAGTTTAACTCAGAAGTTTTTCTTTAATAAACAAAATTATGATCAAATAATAATGAAGTAGTAAACTGGTCACGGGTGGGGGATCGGCCGAACTCTAAGTCCCCTTGGTTACGGACCTGACATCTGGCATTCGGTTTCTTGTGTCAGTGCCAAAAATATTGTTCTTTTAAAGTTGGCGGCAAGTGCGTCTTAAAATATTCAGTGTCAGTAAATTAACCATACCATACCTGAATGATTTTTCTTTGATACCCTGAAAGGGGTCATTTATAATTAATATTGTATTTGTACTGTGTTATCCTTACTATGCAATTTTTGTTCATTAGTACTGTAATAACTTTTTATTTTACATAATTTAGTAGTGTGATTGGATACTAGAAATATAAATTATATATTTTTGTATAAGGTAAAACATTTGATTTTAATAAGTAAGAATAAGAATAAAAGAATATAAAATGTACAAAATGTTGTTTAATCCAGTTTGTAATTATATTTATCTAATCTAGATAAGATCACCTTCAAACAAACATTGAAGACAGTCACTCTTGACTCTTTCGTTTTCTTCTTTCTTGTTTGTACTAAAACGGGGGGGGGGGCAGTGTGCAGTGGTGTATCTTATAGGGGTGCATTAGGAGCGCACTCCCCCAAGAAATAGGCCTACCCGCGCTTCCCAGTCGCCGAGCCTTCCCCCACCCCCAAAAAAATCACGGTCAAGTAGACTGCCCCTCTCCATTTCAAGATTCAGACACACCACTGACACTGTGACAAAATGTAAATTAAGTTTTGCCTTGTTATTTCAGTTATTGACGTTTAGGCCTACAATGAAATGAAATAAACATAATAAAAAATCACTGAATGGTTTAATTTGGTACTCATTGTTTCGTCCGAGATGATAAACACATTATACATTTCATTAAAAATCATTATTTTAAAAACTCGATTACATGATTAGGCCTGCCCATACTACAGCCCGCCCACTAATTCCAGACCACCTTTGGAATTAGGCCCTGAAAATTTGAGGTGGTCTCGGGGTTGTACGTTAAAAGGTTGAAGATTGTTATTTGGGTCTTTGGAAAAGTGGTCTCGGAATTGAAGGGGTCTCGAATTGGAGGGTGCACTGTTACACTAGCTGTTATTTAGGCCTGTTTGTTTATAGTTAGATAGGCCTATGATTCTTTCAAAAAATACTGCAACACGTGGCGGTGACTACCCTGGATGGATGAATCGTTGCGAAATCTATTTTACTATTTCAACACACGTGCGTCATTACTCAAATGAAACGCGTTATAGTAAGTATTTATTGGGGAAATTACACCTACCTTTATATCTGTGGCACACACAAAGGTGGTGCATCCACATAATACAAATATATAAAAGAACAAACAAAATTATAAACAAAGGATTAAACTATTATCTTATTTTAAAAAATACATACAGGTTTATACTTGCAAATTGAAATTGGCATTTAAAGGTACTACTCCTAACACAGGGGCCAACCAGGACTAAAAGCGGAATTTATTAATTATTTTAATTATTTACTTATTTTTTTCTTTTTTTTTACTACAATGTTAGGCCTATAGTATACTGTATTTGGCAATTCTTATTTAAACCAGTTTTATTGATACTTCATGTAGACCTATGTTTGTGAAGATTTGAATAGGTACCATGAAAAAATGAATGAGTAGCTAACGGGGGAAGTCACAAGGAATATGGCAAACCAGCTCTCTCTGTGTATGTTCATCCACAAGTAAATTAAAAACAAACACGTAAATTATAAAGAAAAGATTAAGATATAAACTTAATTAACAAAATACATATAAAATACATAGGCCTATACCCTTTTGTGACTGGTTTAAATTAAAAGTACTGCTCCAGACAAAGAAAGAGCGCAATTTAGTTTTTTGCTACAATGATTGGCAATTCTTGTTTTAAACCATTTTTATTGTTACTTCATGTATGTTCGTGAAGTTTTGAAATAAATAAACCATGAGAGAAGAATAAAAAATGTAAAAATACATAAGCCTTGGCTATGTTTTAGTACCAAGATTTGTTGACGCTTTATTTTGGCTACTGACGCATTGTGGAACTTCAATACAAACTTTCGAAACAAGTTCGTGCTTTGCGAAGTACTGAATATTTACGACCATATTTACGTCTGCCTCCTCTTATTAAAATGACAAAATTTAGCCGAATCGTGAGTTTTCAATGGATGCAAATTGGTGTGATTGTACTCGTAGGTGTTACAGTGCGTTGGTCGGTTAGTTTAAATGCATATTCAGGTAAGTTTAGAATATTTAGGCCTAACCTAGCGTATGCAACCATCAGCTCAGCAGGCAAGGCATTCGTTTACCGGCCCGTGCCCCGTGAGCTAGTTGACTCTGGCTCAAGATTGGGCCTAGGGTAGGCCAGTCGAACACGCCATAATAAAAGTGCTAGTAGTATGTATGCAAACAATTTAATTAGGCCTAGGCCTAAACTACCATTTTTTTTTTTTTTTCTTTTTTTCTTTCTTTCAAAATATTGTTGACATAGGCTTAGCCATGCACTCAGTATTTTGCCAGGCCTAGCCTAATTATAGGGGCCTACTAGGCCTATATTAAACAATTTAGGCCTATAGTAGGCCCTAGGCCCATAGAGCATATTTATAATTATAAAACAGTCAATAGTGTACCTATGCTCCATATTTTAAACACTTTTATTGATGATGTAATTGACTCAATTTAAAAAGTCTAGGCCTATTATGTCATTTTATGTATTTGATATCTGGAAATAGGTACAGGCAAACCCTCGATGTTTGGAGATTATGAAGCCCAGCGACATAATACCTATGTTCCATGTTTTAAACACTTTTATTGATGATTTAAACTCAATTTAAAAAGTCTATGTCATCATACATATTTGATTATCTCGAAATAGGTGCAGGCAAACCACCAATGTTTGGAGATTATGAAGCCCAGCGACATTGGATGGAGATCACAACAAACCTTGCAATTGACCAATGGTAAGTCAAAAAAAGTGCATCCTAACTTGCAATTGACCAATGGTAAATTGCAAAAAGTGCATCTTGTACAGCAACTTCATAGTACCTGTACAAAGCTAGTAAAGAGCCAGGAGCCAAAATGTTAAATTTCTGCTTTAAAATGTTGATTGCTTCCACACTGTAAATTTTTTTTTTTTTTTTTGCGCAGAGAATATATCGAAAACCAAATGAAATTTGCACGGAAAATCACTAGTGTGCTGCATCGTAATTATTTCATATACAATGGTTGTACATTGAGAGATAGGCAAAAATTGCACCGAAATCAGCCGTTATTTTCAAATTGGGGGAACAGAAATCAAATTTTTGCATGGTGGATGTATTTTCTACACAAGCCTTATTTTACAGTCTTTGATAGCTCTATGCTGAAATCTGAAGGTTGCGAACAGCAGCAGTGCAAATAGGGGCTTAAGTACCCCTGTCAAACATGCCAATCCTCCTGTCAGCAACAACTTATCAGACACAGCTCATCATCTAAAAGAAATTATTTTGAGTGTAATATTGATGTAACAAACATTTTCAAGTTTTTATAGACACCACATGGAAAATATTTAGACCCTTCAAACTGTCTTTTCCCTTGGATCCCGCTGCCATCTGCATGGCATTGTCAGCCCCTCCTGTCAGATAGCTTAGCCCTCTGAATTATTTTCCTAGTTGCCACTGGTTGTGTGAGAATAACACATTTTTACCTCACATTCATAGGTATGAGAATGGGACAGACAATGATCTTTTGTACTGGGGTTTGGATTACCCACCATTGACAGCATATCATAGTTGGATATGTGGTAAAGTGTAAGTTATACATCTTTGTGTGTATTATTAAAGATGCACTGTCTGCCATGAGTTGAAATTCAATTCCAGATTCTACTTGCTTATTTTGTATTAATTAAGTTATTGAACTGCAGATTTCATATTTATACATATAATAGGCCTATCATTATAGATTATTATTATGTGGGCTTAGACCAAAGATAAACGTTAACTTTCAGTACATTATTATACATTTATTTCATTTATCTTTTATACTTTTCTTCTGTATACTTTAGTTCATCTTTTCTGAATCCGGATTGGGTAGAACTGTATGCCTCCCGTGGTTATGAAAGCTATGAGCACAAACTTTTCATGAGGTATTCAGGTAAATTTTATGGTAATAAAATAAAATTAATAAAAATCCATCATTTTTTCCTATTTACACTGTAAACCTACTGGTATTTCTCCAAAGCTTATTTTTTTTGCAGTATATGGTTTTAATAATGATCTTTTAATTATACTGTATTATAAAAATATCTTTTTTTTTTCTTTCAGTTCTTGTCGTTGACCTGCTCCTCTACATTCCAGCCGTTTTGCTCCTCTGCTGGGTGGACAGTTCTAAGAGAATGTTAAGTTTTGATTGGTTGATGGTTGCCATGGTGATATTATTATACCCAGGACTCATTGTGATTGACCATGGCCATTTTCAGTATCCTTTCTTGTTTTGATTTTGTTCCTTATGTTTTATAAAACTCTTTGTTTTTGAAAGATGGTGGGCTATTTATTTTGCTAATTATGGAGTTGTGAAATTACTTTTCACTTGATATCAATCCATCTAATTCTGTGTGCTAATCGATATATCTATCTGTAAATTGCTCAATAACTCATATTTGTATTATTATTTATATATTTGTTAATTACTTACTTATATTACTGTTATGACTTTAAATATTTACTTAATATAATTTGCTATATTAGTATTTCTTTTTGCATACGATAGCAACAGCTTTTCAAATTGACAGTGTGTTCTATATTTCTGTAGGTATGGACAATCAAAAGGCAATTTTTCGACACCGCATGCCCATTTCAAAGCCACTCTTTAATTTTTATGTTACATGAAATTTAACATGAAGAAGTGGGTGGCCTTATACACGAGGTGCGTTTATACCCAAGGATCTAGTGCTAGTGCAATATAATTGTGAATGAATTTCAGATACGATATGCTTTCAAATTTACAGATTGAACTTTAACACTATAGGTACAACAATGCAAGTCTAGGATTTTGTCTCCTAGCAATCATTGCTGTGACAACAGGTCATGACCTCTGGGGGTCAATCTCATTTGTGTTGGCTTTGAACTACAAACAAATGGAATTGTACCATGCAATGCCATTTTTCTGTTATCTGCTTGGAAAATGTTTCAGATCATCTGATGAGAATGGGTAAGAAGTTTTTGCTTATGGTCTTCATATTTTTTAATTAAAATAATGTTTAAAACTTTAGCAGTAAATCCGCAACATAGAAAAAAAATGAACGTTACAATGTTATAATTTTAAATTTGGAGAGAAATAATAAGCCATGTGAGGATTTGTCTATATGCCTTGACCATTGACATGATCATTGTGCACATGAAACTACTAGATGGATAACTGGGTGAATATTTTCATTTCAGATTATGGAAACTGATAAAAATAGGCGTTATTGTCATCGCATCATTTATTATCTGCTGGCTACCTTTCTTGACAACTGTTGAAACAATCTTGCAGGTTGTACATCGGCTCTTTCCCTTTGCAAGAGGACTGTATGAGGTATGATATTTTTGAGAGTCAGTGTGTTGTTGAGTAAGGACCAGTCAAACTTAATTGATAGAAATGAGGACTTGATTCTTCATATATTACAGCACTTATATAGCGCTATTTTATGAAGATTAGAGTGCACAAAACATGGACTAGCTCATACAGTAACTTCCTTCTCGTGTCTGAGCTACCCGGTAAACCGGTACCAGCTGCTCTCGTCTGTCCACAACAACTTCATAACTATAGTATCAACTGTTTCATATGTTATATATACCTGGTCTCCTGGCCTGAGTCTCATATCTTCCCATTTTCAGTTTATCTATATTTTGAAAAATAATTATATCATAATTATTATTAATCATATCATGTCAACATAACACATCAATTGATCTTGCAGGATAAAGTTGCAAACTTCTGGTGCAGTATAGAACCTATACTAAGAACAAAGGAAAAATTTTCGCAAGATATAATACTGAAGATAGCTTTGGTTTCAACTGTAGGGGCGCTGTTACCTTCGTCGCTACATCTACTATACAAACCAACAGTCCGCAGCTTTAGATTAGCACTAGTAAGTTATACATTAGTGTGGAAGGTGAAAAGGCAGCTATTTGTGTTAATTTAAGTACTGTACAGTAACAGTCCCAGTTATGTACCCCTCCCTCCAAATACCTTTTCAATGGTTTGTTGACATTTTATCTATATTTTTAACTAATAGAATATTTTGATTTGACTTTTTAAGATTTTATTTTTTCAATATTTTTGATGATTAGTAGTCATATTTTTTACATCAGTATATTTATTTTCAGGTAAATTCATCATTAGCATTTTTCCTATTTTCATTCCAAGTACATGAGAAATCCATCTTGCTGGTAGCATTGTAAGTATGGAATCAAATTGAATTTAATTTCCCAAATAGACATAAAATTTGGTGTTTTTTTGAAGTGATAGGTTTTTTTTAAAAATTATGATCATTTCACATTTTTTATTTATTTATTTTAGGCCAGTGTGTATGATGCTACAAGACCGACCATTTGCATCGACCTGGTTTTTATTAATATCAACATTGAGGTAAAATATATTCTGTATCATTATCTATCATGTTTAAAATATCTAAAGCCATGTCCAGATTATCAAATTTTCTTTGACAAAAAACTGTTGTAGGCCAATATATAGTCATGATGTGCCTATATCGTCGCTCACATCATGAACCAACACAATCAAAATAGACTGTGTTAGTTCTTGAAATAAAGAAAGCGCGTCAAAATACGCGCTGTTGTTGTTAACAACTTTTTATGTGGAAAAGAATACAAAAGTGTTTGACAACCAATATGCGCTCATTTTGACCCACTACTGTGATTTCAAGCACTAACATAGTCTACTTTGATTGTGTTATTTCGTGATGTGAGCGACGATAATAGGTCATGATGTGATGTCATCATGACCATATTTAGGCATGTCACAAGTTTTTGTCAAATAAAATTTGATAATCTGGGTAGAGCTGTTCACTCTATCAAGTTTTATGTGACAAATTCCTGTGATTTGCCCTTACATGGGTGTGATGATGTCACATCATAACCATATATGGGCAAATTTGTCAAATTCGTAGTGTGGACATAGCTTCCAAGCAGGTATCGCACATTGATGTAGCTTTATTTTTGTTGGCTCACTTGTCATCAGATTACATTTCGGTGCTTGTTTGTTTCCATTGGATTATGTCCTGTCACCCTCTTAACACATGCCAGTTTTTGTATACTGATACCAGTGATCGTATACTAATTAAAATGTTTACCTTTTCAGTATGTTTCCTCTACTTGTGAAGGATGGCCAGGCTCTCTCTACATCAGCCCTCTGCTTACTATTCCTACTAGCATCAAGGACCTTGCTAGACTCTCAGAAGTTAAAACAACATATTGCTGTGCGAATAATAGTAAGTGATAGTACACAAATAGAAGATTGATGTCTACTTATGTAATGTATATATTGTATGTTAGATATTCAGTGATTAGTAATAACCTGATTAATAAATTATTAGATCACTTGTTTATATATTTTTTATTTTCCAGTTTTGGTTATCAATTCTTGGAATGTCAGTACTCTGTGCATTCCACCTGGTGATCCCACCCCCTCCAAAGTATCCTGATCTATACCCTTTATTCATCTCGGCTTATTCTTGTGCACACTTTCTGGTATTCTTTGCGTACTGTCAGTACTTGCAGTTTACAACCACAGATGATGAGAAGGTACGAGGCCCAACAGATGAGACATTTAGAAATACGAAAACAAAGAGGAAAGTGCACAAGAAAGACTGAAGTAATATTTAAAAATGAAAAAATTCAAATCATAAATAAGTTAAGAATAAGAATTTATTCACAAATTGTTCTAAAAATACAAACACAGTACAGTATTATAAAATAGTACAGTACTTGATAGACATGTTAATAACTTTTAAAGGACTAAATATATTTTTGTTGGTAAGGTCTTGACAAAATATTAAGCAACAATTAATACACAGGTAACTTTTTAAACTGTGAATGAAAGCAAGTGCCTTACTGGCAAATTTACAGTTTAAAAACATATCACCAATCATTTGACCAAATAAATTGTTGATTTGTTTTTCATTGGATGATGTTCTTTTCATAATTAGATTATGAACTTGAAAATTTCTTTGTTGTACAAAATACAGTACAGTACTATGTTATACTGTAATTATTTTAATATTAAAATATGGATGGTTATTACAATCATACACTATAATTATGGTGATGCCATGTTATAGAACCCTGTTCCGCAACCTTTTTAGCCCACGACCCAAATGATATGTCAAGCACACTGACGCGACCCATCAAAACCCAAAGTCAATAAAACGACGTCGTTTTATACGCGCGAGGGATAGCGGGAAGAACCACTCACTTGATTCTTTTGTGAATTGATTAAAATATTATCATCACCCACAAAATCAATATGTAAAACCCATAAAAATAGAAATTAAAATAACTTTGAATTACTCTTTTAACAAAATCACGCAAGTTATCAAATTTTTTTATAAGTTAAAGACTTTTAAAAATTAATTATTAACAGACATTGTATTATAAATTCCTAGTGCTTCCAGAGATTTATGGGTTATGCGGAGACATAGACACATCAAATTTAAAAATGTTTTCTCATTATAATTTGCAGCTGAAAGCCTAACACATTGAAATGAACAAAGCTAATACTTTACGGTTGTCACACCTGAAGTACAAATGTTTTGATAATATATTTTTAACATGAAACTGATAATTTTAATAACAAAAGTAAACTCACGCACTTGTCACATTTAAATTGCACTTTCGTTACTGTAATTTAATTTTGTGTATCTTCGTTCACGTTAAGTAAAGTTTTCACGATCTGAAGAGATCATGCGACCCATTTTGTTTTCGTAACCCAAACATTGGGTCACGACCCATAGGTTGCAGAACGGTGTTTTAGAATATCTTCAGTGGTGTAACATCTATGAGGTCTCACTAGCTAAAGGAGGCCATGGTCCAGGATATTATTATTAATTGATTTTCCCTGGACCATGGGGCCCCAAAATTGCCAACTGCAGCCCCTAATGAGCAGAATGTGTAAAAAACATGAAAAACACCAGAGCATGCATGCCTGGAAAAAAAATGTTTGTACCTCCGACCATCAAAATTGTCTCAATAAAACGTCCCCCAGCACCAAATGTTATCTGTATACTATATAGCCCAACCATTTATTTTTTTTAATTTTTTTCCTAAAATGCCACCGGCTGCCAGTTGTGCAGTTGCACACTTTTTGCAGCCTTGCTTTGCAGCCTCCTAGAGCCCAGGGCCTCAGACCTCTTTGTTACACAACTGGATATCTACCATACCATATAATTGGTTCTAAAGCTTTGTCCACTAGCCCTGGAAAAAAAAATGTTTGTGCCTCCCTCCGACCATGAGAATTGTCTTGAACTGTAATCTGTACAATATATAGCCTAGCAGTTTATTTTTTCCCCCCAAATTGCCTCTGGGACATCCATGGTGCCTCCGACGGCAGGTCGTGCACTTTTTCCAGGCTTAGTGACAAATAACTGCGATATGCCATCATCATGCCCATATATGGGCACATCACACAAATTTGTCACACTAATTGATAATGTGGACAGATCTCAATATTATACAGTTCCACAAAGCTGTGTATTTGAGTCTATTATTTTCTTGCTTTTGTGAATTTTATCTGCTCTGCTAGTGGTAACACTTTTTCCCTTTATGGACAACTCAAGTTACTCTAATCCCATCAGCTGAAATAAATTATGAAAATATAGCCTATTGTTTCATTTTACTCCCCTATCAGCAGGTACAGTAGTATATCAACAATAGTATCTATGTTATAACTAATTTTACACAGATATGAAGTATAATTGTTTAAATAAATGTCAAAGAAACAATATCAGGTATCGCATGTCTACTTCATTTAAAGGAATCATACATTTTATATGTCGTACATTATTTGCCAGTTATATACATGAGAACAATATTTTGATATAAACACTGTAACATATAAACAGATTGACTGGTCCATAATAAACTTAGACAGTATAAGAAGGGACACCAACAAACTCATATTTTACTTATTTATTTTTTGATTTTATTCCTTTAGGCACATGGCCAAAGATCACCAATATCAACTTTATCACTGTCCTATTAGGTGGCAATCCCTTCACACAACAAAGGTATACACATGATGCTCTGCAACTAAGAGGCTTAACCTGTCCAGACTGACTGTCGTGAGAAAAGAAATCTTGTAATCTGACAGAATTTGAACCTAGGACCCTGGGATTGGAAGGTTAGCATCTTCCTAACAAGCTATTGAACTCCAATTCTACAGAAACTTTGAAAATTTAACATTGACAAAACAATTCCTAAAAGGTTTTATCCCTCAATGATTCTCGTGTTATGGAGGCTAGTTCATTATGAGAAAGACAGGCGAAAATCGGCATTAGAAGGGCAGGGCATACAGTAGATGTAGATATTTGTATCTTCCATTATGATACAGATGTTCTCTCAAACAGAACGTAATGAACACACATTCCTCCTTTCCTAAATTTCTACCTGGTCAGTGTCACTATGTGCAACGGTATAAAAAATGTTTTGTCCCCAATCTTGCTGTTTTTTAACAAGCATGCTAAAAGATAATATGTAACAAATAGAGAGAACACCTACACACATCATGAATTAACATATTCGGTTTTAAATTAAATTTGTACAGCATTCTAGATTGTATAGAAATTTTTAAAAATTGACCTATTATTTATTAATCATTGCATATCATTCATTTTTATATTAACATTATCCTTTAATTTTAAATTTTTTTAAAATGTTTAAACAATCGTCCAACAGGAATGCTTTGTTCCCACTTGCATGCGAAAAATATAATCAAAACGTATTTCGTATTGTAATGAATAAATACAGTTTATTAAATGCTTGCGGTACACAACATAGATAGTTCTGAAACTATCTATGTATAATGAAAGTCTAATTGAATCAGTAGTCTACAGGTCAATAACTGTATCTTTTTTGTTGAGCTTAATCTGACATCATTTTTCCTCTGCTATCAGTTCTTCCCTCACTTCAGTTAAAATATATCCCAAAAGGTTCTGACCTTTCCAATTCTTCTTGTCAAGTGCTAAGGGATTTTTTAAGCCAAGTCCAATACCCCATATCCTGTCATTCGCACTTGCCTCTGCTAGCGTTGTACCCTGTGTCTTCAGTAGTTCTTTTTTAAGATCTGAATTCTGTGAAAACTAACGATCAATTTCCATTATGTATTACAACTGCTGTATCATTATAATGTACAGTTACTACAAGAATCAGTGGTGGATTCAAAGGGGGTCCAGCCGACCCGACTCCACCTAAATTTTTCAGGATTTAAAAAAAAATTTTGAGAATAGATAAAAGTGTGCATTTTTGAGACAAAAGGTTTAGTGTGCACATAGTGCACTTCATCATGAATACTCAGACTCGTAACCAGGAGGTTTCTATGATTCAGAAAAAAACCTGGATCTGCCCCTGAAAATTATCATTTGAAATCTGCTTAGATACATATACAGTATAAGTAATTAACAATTCAAATCAAATCATTAATAAAAAAAATATTATTAAATGTGAAATTAAATTAATTAATTATTTGTCCTACATTATATATAAAATATATTAAGTCAATAATTATATATATATATATTGTGTATCCCTGAGGAAGAGTACAGGCATGCTCGGAATATTCAAAATATTGTAAAAAACTTGTTTATGTCAACGTATACGTTTCTCTACTTTGTGCATTCATACTCATTTTTATTTGGTGTATGTATATACACACAATTCAAATATTGAGTTGATTATAAAAAGAAAGCATAGCCTACTAAATAAACAATACCTTTGCTTTGACACCTTTTTTGACAATTGCACGTTTATTTTCATTCCAAACATTTTGATCAAAATTCTTAACACGTCGTCCGAGCTGTTTCATTTTACCGGGCTTTACTGCTGCAATAATCTGCTCTCCAACTTCAGTATCTTCGAACAAAACTGAATGAAAAGAATACACAAATTAAATTATATTGTAGACAGACAGTATCATTGAAGGAGGTACTTGAATTGAAATAAGAAATAAAGCTATATATTATTTCTATTTACGGTACCTGCTTTTTGATGCATCATGTATTGCTCAGAACAACTGTACTTAACATCCTCCAGTTCAAAAACAGCTGGGTGGAAATTACTGAATGGAGATTCCGGTGTGTAAAACAAAGTAAACTTCTCGTCGTTTGACTTCAGCTGCTTACTGCCAACTGATGCCATGTCTCTTGATGATGTATCTTCAGCTTGTCTCTTTGGCATTCTAAGAAGAACGAATAAAGAATGATAAAATTAAATGTTACATTAACCATCTGCATCAAAAGAAAGTCTGTCTCATCTCATCCGTTTCAGCCGGGAACCAGTTCGGCCGCGGTGTATTTATCATCCATAAAATCAGGAAATTAAGTGTATTTTGTTTGTCTTATTAGTAAATACACTATCCTCACTTTATAGTTAAACAGGCTTGTCATATCAGTTACCACTGAAAATAGCATGTTTTTTGCTTTCCTGCAGTCTTCTTAAGTGAACGTGCATACTTATAATTATATTATTAGTTTAGCATATATATTAGCCATTAAATGGATCGAATTGACTGAAAACATACAATATATAAAATGTGCTTCATACATCGCAACCGAACTTGTTCGTGGCTGAAAGCAATCCTACAACACAGGGACCTGTTCAGGGGCGTACCGTGGGGGGGGGGGGCATCTAGATGTGTATAAGAGACAGGTACAGTAGTATATCAACAATAGTATCTATGTTATAACTAATTTTACACAGATATGAAGTATAATTGTTTAAATAAATGTCAAAGAAACAATATCAGGTATCGCATGTCTACTTCATTTAAAGGAATCATACATTTTATATGTCGTACATTATTTGCCAGTTATATACATGAGAACAATATTTTGATATAAACACTGTAACATATAAACAGATTGACTGGTCCATAATAAACTTAGACAGTATAAGAAGGGACACCAACAAACTCATATTTTACTTATTTATTTTTTGATTTTATTCCTTTAGGCACATGGCCAAAGATCACCAATATCAACTTTATCACTGTCCTATTAGGTGGCAATCCCTTCACACAACAAACGTATACACATGATGCCTGTCTCTTATACACATCTAGATGTGTATAAGAGACAGAATTTACAGTTTAAAAACATATCACAAAAAGTCAGTGTTTCCCACTCACCCAGTTTCACATTTAAAATATTTAAAAACTTTACATATGATAGAGCATATTTAAAATGCCACTTCAATAATTAATAACATTAAAAACACCATCAGTAACAATTATAATAATAATATTACTAATGATATAATATAAATATATTTAAAATATAAACATATTAAAAGTGTTGAGCTGATGAGGCCTAGTACTGAGATAATCTGTATGCAGGTGCATGATGGTGCGACAATAATTATCTATTTATTGTGTGTTGCATTGAGCTACAGCCTTCCTGAATCCTACCTAGCCCCAAATCTAGCCCAATGTAGACAATTTCTGCTCACGGTAGCTAACCGCATGCCTGCAAATTTCTAGGTTCCGGGTAAAAGGAGAGGCAATAATGACATGACATGACACACATGACTGATAACAGTGTTACAACCAGCAAGTACTTCTTCGCACAGAAAAAAAAATAAATAAAAAAAACTTGGAGACATACTTACATCAAAGAAGAAGTCCTTGTTTTAAATCGAATACTTAGTATAATATCGGTTTATATTTTGTGGATTGCTGCACTGTTGGGTAATCCTCTCCTCGTTTGTTTACTTCAGTCATTACATTTAGAAAGTGACGTAATCTTTGGAAAATACGAAATCTGATTGGACGACGGAAAAACGACTCCTGTCTCCTCTCCAAGCGGTCGCGCGAATTTTCATTTTCTGAGTGCCATGCGTAATGAAATGGCGAGTAGAAGAAAAACAGGAGTCGTCAGACGAAAAAAAACAAACAGACGCAATTCAGATGTAGCATATCCAGAAATCAAGTATGTTGGTTGTTCCGCTGAGTGACACACAGGGGGCGTTAGTAATTTAGACCATCTCCATGTAGACGAGAATGCCATCCTCCTCCTAGGCCTAGGCTAGGCTTGCCGTTCTTACCTACCTATTTTTTTAAACTAAGCCAGGCCCTAGGCTAGCTCCCCCGCCAGTGTTTAGCCAGCGCCTCACAAAAAGTTGGAGGGCGCCTAGCTAAGAAGGGCAGAGCAAGGCCTAGTCTAGCGTATCCCTTACTCAGTAGACTACAGAGTCCACCTCCTGGGCAGCGAGCCGATGCAGCTGTGTCTTCTGCCTAGTTCTAAGTTAGGCTTATTATGACACAGTGTCAGTGGTAACTGGCTGGTAAATAATAATAATATTATTAAATAAAAAATAAATTTTTGTAATGCATTCTGCCATTTATGTTATCTTTTAGGCTTTGTTTGACAACAATTTTCCAGATTGTCATTCTTTTTATTTTCCATTGTCATCACGTTGACAAATTATTGTTAGTTATCGTTTGATAAGGGCATATGAGGGCGGGGACTTAAAAATAGCTATTAATTTTATTATTTGGCATTAGAGAAGTATCTGCCGTGGATATTGGTGCTTTACAAATTACTGTTGATTGATTGATTGATCTAAAACAAACCATGTCAGATATTCTATATTTTCTATTTTAGGATGCGATTCTTCCCAGAATCAATTCATGTTGATGTTGAATTCAAAGAACTGTCCCATGATCTTGGTGTAGAATTACTTCAACCTGGTGCATCTGATGATGAGGACTCTTCTACTACCTCAAAGGTTATTTTTATTCTAATCTTTTTCTTAGATTGATTTTATGTGAATATAAGTCAACTCGACCCTTCATTAACTTCGGACTGTATCAACTGGCTCTTTGCCAGCTTGGGGTCCTTAACCAACTCAGGCCAAATGGGCTGAATTAGTTACGGCTCGTGTTGACGTAGGGCTACTGAGTGGTCTAGGGCTGAAATTGTTTATGAGCCAAGTGGGCCAAATTGGTTTGGTCTGAGTTTAACAGGCGGTATTGGTATCCAATCGATTTTTACATATATTGTAATTTATGCTGGATCATAATCATACAATATGTTATACCACAACCATTGCCATAAAAATTTTGATTGCATGACAATGAAAGCTACACCAGCAGCAGAACACATAGACTTTATTAAGGGAATTGGGACAAATGGTTTGGTATTTTACTTCCAAAATATTTTTAATTATGGTATTGAAAATCTCCGTATAGAGGCTTAGGGGGGATTTTACACCATGACCCAGGGATTGACAGGAAAGCGTTTCGCTAAGCTAGTTCCTCTCTAATTTTAAACTTTTGTTTATTCTTATTTTAGATAAATTCACCAGCAAGTAGTCATGTAAATCTGTATGATATGACAACGCCCTCTCCCGTCCGAGGATTTCCAGTCCACAAGCATACCGATTATTGCTGTAGTTGCCAGCAAGTCAAAGAACTGCAGCCTTCTAAGGAACCCTTCCAGTCACTGACCAATGAAGTGATTTTGTCAGTTTTTCAGTGGCTGCCATTATCATCTCTCTTAAGTTGTGCCAGGGTGTGTAAAAGGTGGAAGATGTTAGCGTAAGTATGAAAGCTGTAAAAATTCAAGGGTTCTTAATCAGAGCCATTCTATCTATACAATTAAATTGCATGTTTAAATAATGTATTCTCTATTCAAATTTAAGGGCCTTGGTCAATTGAAAATCAAAAATAGTTATAAAAGAAATAAATAGGTATGATTAGAGTTGTTAATTTTAATAAATTGTTTTGCATGACCGAATAAACAAATGCGGTAAAATGTCTTTCATGGAGCTTGAGGTGTTTATGTCCTGCTTATTTAGGAAAATTTATCAGTTTTGTACTAAAATAAACTTATTCTAGGACCATACTCAATAGATTAAAGGATTATAAAGGCCACAGTCAGTAATTAGAATTTGACTGATAATGTGAGCATGGATGTGAGCTACAGCATTATAGCAGAAAGTTTGGATAAAAATGAACATTGATTGTTTATCTAGAATTGCAGCACATGTCTTTCATTAACATCCTGATTGGATGAATTTTATTCATTGTCTGAGAAGTTATTGTTGGAACATGATTAGAGCATAGGCCGTTAAAAAATACAGTATTAGATTATTGCCTCTACCCTATTTTAAACATTTTTTTATATTTTATAGATATGATGACAGTTTATGGAGGCAGATTAATCTAACCAGGTTCCATTTTCCACCGGGAACTCTGGGTAAAGTACTAGAAAGAGGTTGTACTGCTGTGAAGCTTGCCCAGGCAAGTGTTAATGGTCCGTTAGGGCATAGTGAATCACCAAAGATACAATCGCTGCGAAGAGGAACTCGTAAACGAAGACAGTATGAATTTTAGTTTGTTTTTATATAAATGCAGTATTCAGTATAAGCCTATGCTCAAGTAAAGGCCACCCCTGATTTAGGTATCTGAGTATACATCGTGGGTATAATTGCAACAAATTTGATTGCAGTTGGACTGTTGAAGTCCTTCTGATGACAGGCTTGCTTTGAAGTTAGAAATATAGTTAGAAATTATATATGGTACCTGTCCTGGAGAAAACAAGCTGAATGAAGTGATTATTTTTTTGTTTTACAAGATTTAATTGTCTGGTATTGTCCTAATGCAACCAACTGCCTAACCATCTCCAGTCCACTTAAGATTATACTTAGAAATATATGGTAATAAAAAATGTTTACTGTATTATATTTTCTTGACACCAGGGCTAAAAAATTAAGATGATTTGAACAATTTCTATTATTAATATTTTAGCTATTCTATCTAATTAGTTATTTGATGTTGAAATTGTTGTGTTACTATTACTTTATTCTTTATTATATGTTTACAATACTATTCATGTTTTTTTTTATATGTGTACCGTATGTTTTAATTTGTATATGTAGATGTGGAGAATATATTACAATTTAAGTAATATATTGTCATTTGTACTAACTTCAATGGTTTGTTACTCTAGCTCTCAACAGGTAACTCCTTCACAACTTGCAATAGAATACCTAGACCTGTCCATCTGTAAAATAGACGATGATCTTTTATACGATTTGTTAACTCGCTGCCATAAACTACGCAAACTAAGCCTGGAAAGTTGCCAGGTAAACAAGGATGTTTTATCAGCAATCGGTAATCTTTCTGTCAACACTTTGGAGGATCTGAACCTGTGTATGTGCACTGGCATCACACAGAATGCAATTAATCAACTCCTTGTTTGCTGTAAAAGGTAAATTTTGATAATGGTAATAAAAAAGGTATTAATTAATAAGAGTGGTTTCTATTCATCTCATTAAACAAATTTCTGTTTCTCAAGGGGTCAATTCTTGTACGATCTGTTGCTGAGAAGGGCACTTTTGAAGGGCATTTTTTTAAACTACTCCAATCACACTGATCATGTTTATTATAAGAATGTTGTTTTATTATTGTTATTATTATTTATTATTCATACAGTTTGAATTCACTGAATCTGGCCTGGTGTGACTTGAAATCAGCATCTTGTATCAACTCAGTGGTCAGCTGGTCATCTGACACATTAAAGAACCTCAACATAAGTGGCTATCGGAATCACATGACTGATGATGGTATGTTTAATTTATTCAAACTATTATAAATTATAAATGTTTTATTTTATGTAGAAGGCAGCATTCTAGCCTTCATATGTAGTACTGTACTCTGAGTACTTGCCGTATATTATTTTCTACATTCACCACTCATTCTATTGTTTATGAAGATTGAAACTTGTTCAAATACCAGCCTTTAGATACATGCTTACATGTGGATACATAGACCAATCCATTTACAGAGATTATTATCCATCTTCAGATGCATATAATAGCTGGGGATGTCTGGTGGAGTATCTGCTACAAATGGAAATACTGTATTAGCATTATAGGACCAGTGACGTATCTTTAGGAGAGGGTGGGGGTTGCATGCCCCTCCAAAAATTACTTGTGCCCTCCCTAAAAATCATGGTCAAGTAGTTAAAAATTTATCTTATTTTGCGAGTTAGCTCCTCCTCAACTGATCGTTGAGCCTGCATTGTATATGGTTTCTAAAGATTTGTATTTGAGGCATGCCATCCCAAAACCGGCATAGTGTTGCTAAATGTTAAACTGTGTAATCAGCAAAATAATGTGGCAGTATTGTATACTTTAACACACAGAAGCTGTAATTCCTTTACTCATAATTTTGTTTATTTGTTCTTTATACTGGGTTTCCTCTTCAGTAACAAATTACTGTTCTCCCAGAGGGCCCAGTTTGGAATTAGTAATTCTAATAAATGTTAAGTTATCATTTTAAAGCTTATAATGTGGAGAATGTTAAACAAAGTCAATTTTCTTGTTTTGGTCACTGATGTTGGTTTTGCCATGGCAAGCCCCATTTGGTTTATATAACTTCAAGAGTCATTTTTTTATGTAGAAGTGAAGCTTCTTGTACAGAATTTTCCAAACTTAGTTGATCTTGATCTCAGCGATTCCAGCATCACCAAAGATTCCGTGCACTTGATTGCAAGCTTCCTAAAGAAACTAAGGCATGTCTCACTCAGCCGTTGCTATGGTATTGAGCAGTATTCACTTGTGTAAGTCACACTTATTCATGTGCATTAAATTATTATTGGTTAAATCATTGTCTCTTACTTTTTACTTTATAGTGCCCTTTAGATAAGACTTTTTATATATGTTGCTTCTAAACCTGCTGCCTGACGATAATGGTAATTTTGAAGTATTGTAGGCATATTAGCACCCTGTTTGATTAATAGATTAAAATATACAGACTACTGTAGAAACATTTCAACTAACAATTTTTTTTTGTTTTGAATAGTAAACTTGGTTGTCTGAAGGATCTACAAGCGATAGAAGTGTTTGGTACAATAAGCGAGGCAGCGCTGAAGTCCATGAATATCCTTCTGCCTCACATTCGCTTCAATTCTTGCCCCTTCTCAGCAATTGCACGTCCAACAACACGTACGGTACGCAAGAATTACATATGGAATGTAAAGTGCTGGGACTAAGCCATACTTAAGTTGATCATATTTAGAAAGACCAGTGTTGATTGTAGAGGTAATAACATACATCTCACATCAAGAACAGTTTATTGTTTATTTTATAATTTTAAAAGTTTGAATTGTTACAGTATTAGGTACACCTCATTTAATTTTAAGTTCGGCATTGGTGTTTAATCTTTAATAACTGAATATATGCTCACATGACTGCTCCCTGCTTAAACCATGCCTTCAAAATTGCCTTTAAATCAATGCTAAGGAACCAACTTGGGAACGATGTGTATAAGAGACAGCTTTTATACGATTTGTTAACTCGCTGCCATAAACTACGCAAACTAAGCCTGGAAAGTTGCCAGGTAAACAAGTATATTTCACTCCAATAATGCAATTCTTGATCCTCAGTCCTAATAAAGTACAGCAAATTGTTAAAACTAATTGTTTTTTTTTTTATTTTAAACACATTACTAGGATGCATTAAGCAAATGCCAAGGACATTAGTAATGTAAAGGCCAACTCAGACAGCATTGTACGACACAGCCCGATGTAATTTTTTCCGTCGGTGGCATTTTGTAGGTCGTTGTGTGAATATTAAACACTACTAATACCTATATGATGCGACTATCCCCAACGCAAAACTAGCATTTAACTCACACAGACCTAATGCGACAACAAATCATACAACACTGTCAGAGATGGCCTTAATATAAACAGTTTTGAAATCTTAAGGCAATAATGAAGTTATGAAGTTTACAGAACATTTTATGTTGTTTTTATCAATGAACACTATTAGCAGCTGTTTAATTTGTGAAACCTTTAGAATAGTAAATGTTAAGAATACTAAAATATAACTAATAAAAATTTAAGAAAACTTTCCTTTTGCATGATATACCTCATGTAAAATGGACACTAAAATGCATTAGACTAGTTCAACATCCAGTACAGTACACAATCAGTACTAACTAAAGTTCCTATACTGTATTTCATATATACTGTATTCTTAGAAACAGAATAATTTGTCACAAATGTATGTTATACAGTTCTGTATAGAAAAGTTTTTACAATAAATGGATGAGACCATACAATTTCATATTAGGTTTCTTGTTGATGTTGTTTGACATTGTACTGTACAGCATTAGACCAGCTTAAGGAAGGTGCAGAATTAAACTTTTGTCATTCCTTGCATCTTTGAAAAACTCATGTAAAGCCACAGTTACAATGGAGAAATGAGCAATTTTAGTGAAATAAATCTTTCCTACTGCATGGTAGTTGCTGAATGCCAGGCTTTCAAAAATCAGTAATGTATTTCTTCTTCAAATGTGGAACCAAATCGCAAGGTCATAATTAATCATTTAACAAATAGAAATTTAAATCTGCACCATCCCTGTACAGTTGAACCCCTTAAATTGGGATGCCCCTATTTAAGGGGGAACTTTTTCGGCCACAAACTGAGGGAATGTATATCTTTGTAACACTACGGCCAATCCCTATTCAGGGGACACTTTATTTGGTCCCAAAGGTATCCCTATAATACTGATTCTGCTGTAATATTTTTTTAGATTATATCAAGTATGAGTAGCTTTGAAGAAAATATTTTAACAACAATGAACAAAATTACACTAATTCTACATTACATGTAGGATTAAAGCTTGATGGTTAAGATGCTTGCAAGGGTCCTGAGTTATATCGGGACTTAGTAATGTAAGTTGCAGATCGCAGCTTGAAGATATTGATAATTAAATACCGGATGAAAAACCGGGCTTTGCATAATACCATTTTACCCCGAAAAAGACACTGGCTATTCAATTATTGAATTTTGGAAGCACAAAAGCAGCACCAATTTACTTTGCCGCTTGGTAGAAATAATGAGTAAAATAAATGTAAAGAAATAAGTTAGATGTTTATGTCTCCCTGTCTTGGTTCAGTATTTAGTATAATTTACACCTTCTGTAATATTTTTTTACATTATATCAAGTATGAGTAGCTTTGAAGAAAATATTTTAACAACAATGAACAAAATTACACTAATTCTACATTACATGTAGGATTGAAGCTTGATGGTTAAGATGCTTGCAAGGGTCCCCGAGTTATATCGGGACTTAGTAATGTAAGTTGCAGATCGCAGCTTGAAGATATTGATAATTAAATACCCGATGAAAAACCTGGCTTTGCATAATACCATTTTTCCCTGAAAAAGACACTGGCTATTCAATTATTGAATTTTGGAAGCACAAAAGCAGCACCAATTTACTTTGCCGCTTGGTAGAAATAATGAGTAAAATAAATGTAAAGAAATAAGTTAGATGTTTATGTCTCCCTGTATTGGTTCAGTATTTAGTATAATTTACACCTTCTATACAGGAGACAGGAATATATTTTCTCGATAATATTTCAGTTCCTTAATGCTTTCTTTGATGTCATCTAATGCTCGATGTGCAGCCATTTTTGTGGGAGCACTGCAGAACACATTTGGATACCAACGCCTTTAGGATGAAGAAAAAAATACATTGTTAGTGCATATTTGAACATGAAAACACAGCAAATAAAGGTACTGTACTGTGATCAATTTAAAGACTACTTGAATTTGTAAATATAGATGTTACCTGCAAAGTTCTTTGACCGTACTGACATCTACTATACGATAGTGAAGGTGATACATAAATTGTTTCATGTACTTCTCCAGAAACATCTTGTCCACATGTACTGTGTTACCAGCAAGTGGGCATTTCCCAGGGGGCGTATGCTGCCGTATAAACCCTAACATCTGATATTCGGCATTCTCCAAGGTAACTGTGCTGTTACGAACTTCCTCTGTTAAGCCTGACTTCCCATGATGTTCTTTGCACCAGTCATTCATATTGGCTAGGATTTCATCTGATTGGTGAATAATTAGGTTTGGACCCTGCAACAACAACATGTGACATTATGTCATTACAATCTGTTTTGTTCATTTGATCCAGCATACTGACACCAACAGTGGAAGGCAGCAGCGCTATATAAATACTTGACCATTCACCGTTAAATACAGTATTATACAGCAGGCTATATAAATTGCATTATAAAAATTATAGATATCCCATTGGAAATAAAATAGAATATTTAATTAATTTATATCAAAAATTGATGAGTGTATACAATACAAACAAGCCTAAATTATAATTGCTGACACCCTGGCCTGGATTGCTGCTATATATATATATATATAAGTAATAAGTTGCCAGGTATATATTTATTTAATAGTGAGCAAACGTTTTCGGTTATCAACCTTTGTCAAGCTGAAGAAAAATATGATGAGAGCAATATATATATAATAAATCGAACTCTGCCACCTCATTGGTGCATTCCAAAGTTTTTTAACTATGTGTGTGACTGAGATTGTATTTATTGTATGTACAGCTAGGGCCTATAGGCTAGTTAGTAGGGCCTAAAATAGTAACATTTTTAAGTCATAGTTTTATATTATATTATTATTAGCCTAGGCCTAATAAATATATCAAGAAAATAAGGTGGGTGCTCCCAGAAAATAGTGCTACTCTACTGTCCTACCTCGGCAACAATATTAAGAGCATCATCTGTAACAAGGCAGGCCATTTCTATTATTTGACAGGTGTCGACATCTAGCCCTGTCATTTCTAGATCCACCCAGACCAACCGGTTACTCATCGTGTTCGTGGTAGGCCTACGTCTTTTTCTATCCGTACTGCTCCTGTCACTGATTGCAACGTTGCTCAAATGCCGTCCGTCCGCCATGTTTCGCCAAATCAATGTTTTGACAAAACAATTTATAGATGATTTACGCAACAACGCATACGATCGGACACTTGTACAAATCATTGACTATCTAAAAATGTCATATTTAACGATTTAACTCAACTTCTTATGTTCTGTTACGACTTGTGTGTAAATATGATCTGTTTACTATCAAGATCCAAGATCAAGATGTTCATTCATAACAACAATGGCGCGGTTTTCTTGTGTATATAGATAGGTGGCGCACTTTACTGTGAAAGTACAGTGGGGGCAGCATGTTGATGATGCATGCACCAGCGGGGATTTTGGAAATTGGAAACTAGGTTTTTGGTTATTTCTAGGCTAAGCCTAGAGGGTGAAAGTTCATAATTTATCGTACAAACCATTATGGGTCTGTCACCACATTGGTTTATGAAGGAGGTATTGCAATTATAAACATTTTCCGACATCTAATCCAGTATTTAAGCTAGGCCTAGAATAGAGAGCCCCTCCACATGGCATAGATAGGACTCTAGGGCCCCAAGCCTAGGCCTACTTTAGACTACTACAAACAAGTACACTTGGCCCAGGCGAAGTCTTAGGCCTAGCTAGATTTGTTGACATGCTAGACTAGGCTAGCCACGGTGGTTAGAGGCAAGTGTGCTCACGAACGGTCATGTCTATTTACGTCTTGAAGATGAGCTAGTTTACTAGCCTACGTCCTGAATTTATGTGGAGATGATGAAGAAGCGAGCCTGCCTTTCAATTACAAAGTGACGTCGTGGGTTCAGTCCACTTCCTGTCAAGTGGGAATTTGTTCTCACTATAAAAAAAAAACCTTCAACTAATGAGCATCATTACATTTATATGAGTTAACCTAAGCTGTGCAATAAGGCATCTTGTGTGTATTGTTTTCATACTGTAAATGTATTTTAATCGCACAGATGATACCTCAAAAACTATCTCAAATTTGCACAGAAAGTAGGTGCGCACAATCGTAACTGCTGCATTTAGTACATTGGTTTATTAGGATTAGGTCATATTAAGATTAGATCAAAGCCTAATTTTTGGCAAAATCTGCACGGAAATCGGCCCTTATTCCAAGATGAGCGGACGGATAATTCTAAGCCAAATTTTTGTGTGGAGGATACAGGATATTCCCCACGCAGGCCTTACTATACAGTCTGGTATTGTTTGTGGAAGGGATTGCCACTTAAAATATGAATTGATTATTGGCTGATGTGCCAAAGAAAATTAAAGTAGGCCTATGTCTAGTTAGGCCTAGGCTAGTGCCAGTTGCCTCTATCAACAAGGAATACTTTGCCAAGTACTCTGCATTTACAATTTATTAAAAGAAAATGTATTCCAGTGCTGACTATCGTGGGACTGTAAATTGTAATGAAGATATGATACAATGCTTCCTCAATCGCGTTGAGTAAAATTTTTCATAGCCATGCTGCTCTCTTTTCTCTCAACTAGATAAACTACTTCACACTTTAATTGTCGCTCTTTACAGGACTTCCTGTGGCGGAGTTTAGCTAGTTTAGCATGGATTGCCATGTTGATGCCTTTTTTCACCACAACGCACAGCCTCTTGTTGTCATTCAACCCTCTACATCCTGTCTCATGGCTCACAGGTAAATCTAAGTGTAATACTGAATAAGCATAATAGGATACACACTACACTATGGATATTCTTACGACATGCCATAAGTGCATTAACAAACAAGACTGAAGTTTAAGGTTACGGTCAAGCCAGCTCCACAAATCAACACCTCCGATTTTAATGTAGAATCCATGAATTATGACATTTATCATCCTAAATATATTCAAGAATACATGAGGCATCTGTAGGCCTGCTTTATATCTTTTATTTGAGGTTGAAACTAACGTTTAAATCTGAACATTTAATATTATTTGTGAACAAATGTTGAACATCTTTCTGTTAAAACATTTAATTGGTTTTTTTACAATGAAGTTGTCAACTTCCAGTGAAACATTGAAACAACTTTTTCTACAAATTTTCTGTAACCTTTTTCTCATAGACATTTTTATTGATCTAAATATTTTTGATATTGCAGAATGGTTTTCTTTCGTATTTTCCTTCAAAATGTTGGGGATGGTAACAATTCTTGCTTTCTCAAGTTTGTTCATCACATTTCTTAATGTCAGACACACTACAGGAAGGTGGCTGTCTCTTAATGCATTTTTAATTATTTTTCATTCATTCCAAACACATTGATTTTCATTCATTTATATCATATTCATTCATTTGAATCATTTTTATTCCATCATATTCATATTTTATTTAAGTTTAGCCACATGAGTCAAGGATTACCAAATATGATAGTGATTTATCATTATTTTCTTATCTTCATTTATTTTGTAATTACTGAATATTCATTCATTTTTATAAATGTTCATTAAGCAATACAGTTTAACTTGCCTAAGTCGACTTCGCCTAATTTCTAAGTCTAATTATTTTACATCCATAATTTACATCCATAATTAACAATCTGTAAGTCAAATTTTATCCAAGTCAAACAATTTTTCAGTGGCAATTGGGATTTTGATAGAGTATTATATTTCCCTACAGTTATTCCTGTAGTACGAAGAAACCGATTGTCATACATAGCGGACCTAGTTGATCCTTTTCACGCTCTACAGGTTATGGCTGTTACACTGTCTGCAGCCCTCACAGCCTGGTCCATGACAGCACAAATGGGAAATGAGTACAGCACATTTACCAGGAGTTGCTCAGGAATAAAAGCCCTCTGTTTAAATGAGAAGCACTTCTTAATCATTATTCATGCTGGTTTTATTGTAAGTTTGAATTATTCATGTTTATTGTTTATGTTTTATTTTTAATAACCAAACGAAAATTGTTTAGGAACATTAAACAAATGGGAGTGAACATGTGGGGCTTGCAATGGCAAAACTAATGTCAGTGACCAAAACAAGAAACTTGCCTTTTTAATATATTCATATTCTCCACGTTATAAGCCTTAATTTAAATGATAGGTAATTTACTATAATCAATTTACTATTGCCAAAGTAAAAGAGTAAAAGTATTACAACTTCTATGTTTCATCCTAAAGTATACAATACTTCCACATTCTTATGCTAATTACTCAGTTTAACATTTAGTGAGAGTAAGCTGGTTTTCAGATGACAAGCCTCTTATTGTTCATATTTGTGTGTGATATGAATCTTGTTGCCCATATATTGGTGGGATATAACATCATCATATAGGCAAGTCTTACAAAACTGTTTTATAAAATTTGCTAGTTTGGACTGACCATTATTATATAACACTGACATTGATTTAATGATTCATTGCAGGGTTTAATTTTTGCAGTACAGTTCTTTCTACAGCATGATTATATTATGGCTTTCAGTCCTGTTCAGGTATGTATAATATTCAAGATTTAAATATATAAAACGACTATGTATAGTTTTTTTTTTTTTTTATTTGTAGCTTTTACATATGTTTGATTTTTTTTATAAGCATGAACTAACAAAAATATTCCACTAATTTAATATACATATATCTTGATTTGTTTTTCATTTACTGGAACATAACAGCAGCTGAAATTTTTCAAGGTTCGAGATTTCATATATCCAAGCCTGATTCAGTGTGGAGTTGCTTCAATGAAAAGAACGGTTTACTTCTATATTTTATACTTTTTAATGGGTAAGATATATCATTAAAATAACTGTTGAATGCAGGTCTCCCTCCAAGTAAAGATCACTTTTGGGACCTGGGTTTCCATGGTCTTTAGCAGCTTTGGTCTCTCATTAGAATAATAAAAATAAAAGAAATTAGTTAATTTGGGACCTCAGAATAATGGTCTTTAATTGGAGGTGGTCCTTAATTGGAGGGGTCTTTCATTGGAGGGAGAACTGTACTAGGAAAAAATCAGGATGTAAAATTTATTATGATTTACCATATATGGCTTGCTATGCCAAAAACAGCATCAGTAACCAAAAGAAGAAAATTGACTTTTTAAATATTCATATTCTCAAAATTATAAATAATAAATTTAATAATAATAATAATAATAATAATAATAATAATAATAATAAAAATGGTTGACTTATATAGCTCATATTGTTAAGCCCTCTATGCGCTTCACATTATCATTACCCCGGTCATTGGATTAACAGCCTATGGAACACAAACTCAGCTCCCTGGGGGAGTATTCCATAACGTTGCAGCAGCTACACCAGCGCATTTACTGGTAATCGACTTATAGTAAGATATACAATACTGCCATATTCTTATGCTAATAACTCAGTCAAACATTTAGCAAAAGTATGCTGGTTTTAGGATGGCAAACCTCATGTGCTGAAATGATAATTTGTTTATACTTTGTTACTGTAAATAGGAGGCTTGTTAAAATCTTGGATACTGACCACCTTCAAACTCCATGGAACCGTTGATGCACCATTAAACTCTTTACAAGGCTTCCTGGAGTTTTCGTTGCTATGGAAACTGTGGCTTGTGGCAACTCTCTTTACTTTTATTTGGAAGCTGGGAATATATTTATTTAAAGTATATCACTCAGAGGTAAGAATATTGTTTATATTTACAGTACATAATATTATAGTTTTTGTAGGTCCTTTTTGTTGTTGGCTGTTTATGTTTTGGATGTCTTTGTTATTTTTATGTTATGCAATAAAAATAGACATTTCCACTGACAATGCAAGTTTTGATAAAACAAAGCTACACACGTCTTAAGATTTTTACATTTTCATTCAATGTGAATTTGAACTTACCAACTTACAAACATTAAATTGTGCTAAATGGTGTAGAGTTTAGTATAGTTTTATTTAGTGGGAGGGGTAAAATTTGAATTATCAGCAAAGGAGGGGAGGGAAGAAGGGATTAATTTAAGCTGTTTTGAGTTGGTTTTAAGTTTTAGTCATTGTTTTTAATTATGATGTGTCTTGTTATCATTTATTTATTTGTTATTTTATTTAGTTTTGTATTTTGGACACATCTTTGTTTTACAAAGTGTTCCACTGATGTAAATGTCCAAATAAATATTTTTAAAAATATAATCACTAATCTATTTTTGGAAAGAGACAGGTCCTATACCTTTGCTATTGACACTTCTTATGCTGATCAGTTGGAGAGGTGCCTGCATTCTGTAATGTCTCCAAGAGCGCCCCCTTTGGTACGTCACCTTGCCTTTTTAGATCTTAGTATTCTGTCCAGATATTCATTGAAACGACGAACAGAGGTGTTTGCACTTAGCCAACCAGGTAATACTACTATTTTATCATTTTTATAATGTAATTTAAATATCTAACATATGTAATGCCATTTTTTTTTTTTTTATCTAAAGGCATGGAGATCAACAAGAATATTGAAATAGGCTGTACATTTGAAGATTAAAAAAACATACAATATTAACAAAAATCTGACTTTCTAAATTTTCCTTTGGGAACATTTTCAATACATTGATGATATACGCTATTGCATCAGACCCAATCACAGAAGGGAAATTGAGGATACAGTACTTACATTACAGATTTACAGATGTGTAAGGGCAAATGCGAGCTCACCATATTCAGTGCATAAACTGACTGGACTTTTATTGATTTGATTGTGGTAAGTTAAAAAAAAAATAATGATATATATAATCACAAATCTCGTTTTCTTTAAGGTCATCATAGTCACAACTGGAACCGTATTTTAGCAGAATGTTTATCAGCTGTGTTTTGCCTGACCAATCACCTTTCCGCTCACACACGTAGGAAGATGGTAGTAGGAGCTGTGGGTAGTAATGGTACCAACAACCACAAAGCCAAGTCTGCAGATATACAAGGTAGGGATTGATCCAATGAACCTGGTACAGGAAGCCAATGATTAAGGCTACCTGTCCGATAACCATTCAGATATGGCTCCCTATCTACATAACAAAATCTTTTAAGCAGTTATCACATATATTAAAATCAAAACAATTCGTTCTTCTGTACATACTAGCTAATTGTCCTGTGATTGGTTTTTACTCATAAGCCTGTTGCCCATGTAGATTCATCTACCTACCTACCTCACAGCTCTAAATATTATACCCTACTACACCATTGTAATTCAGCAAATTTTAGAATATTTAACAATCGCAATGCTAAAGACAAACTCTTCTGAAGACAACTCCAATCCTTAAGCAAGTCACTTGTTAGAAATATAATAGAATAAAATTTCTAAAATTGTTATTAAACTTCAAACAAATATCATCCTTATGATATAAATTTCACATGTTTTGTGTACTTGCCTCCTATATAATTTAATATGAATGGTTGTATCATTTGTTCTATCTTCTGCATGTAGATGTTCAGACACCCCAGACTCCACGCCATCGAGAGTTTGTACAGTCAATAGGACCAAGCATAGGCCAAGTGCAGTCCCCATATTCATCATTCAGTCAGGAGCAATTAAGTCCTCAAAGACCCATCCCTCCTCCAGTTCACCAGCAGAACAGTCAGCCTAAGAAGCAACGGGGACCAATGCCTTGTAAGAATAATACAGTTTGGGTAGCTCTCATACCTATCATTTGCATTTTTATGACCTATAATACATTAGAATATTTCATCTTAAAAAGGCTAAATAACAAAATGAGCCAATTTGTGATAAGTATGCCAGACCAACTTGTTATATCCAAGAATATATAAGTCACTTTTTGACGAAAATGCGATTTCAGCATTTCTTAAAGTTTATACAGTAATGGTACATGACAGCAGATGTTATCAATCCTGACAGGATTAGAGTAGACAATAGAGGGCGTCACCTATGTTTCATTCCAGCTCAATCAGCCATATCAATCATGTTTTCACCATGATCAAAGTAAATGTCAATTGGTTTACCTAGATTTTCTAGTGTACTTATAACATTAATAGATATTTCCTTCCTTTATAGTACTTTACTCAATCAGTCGGCTTTGATTAAATTTTTTTTCTATTGACAAATCCTCAACAAATTTTTAAGCCTTATTGCAATTTTTTAGATGTGAAACGTTGGTTTGAAACCATTGCAGCCAGATGGATTGAATCTATGAGGAACTTCCATGTTGTGGTGTACTTAAGCAAACCATTTCCAGATTCTGAACAAGGAATGATCTTCCGTGAAAGCCAGCTTCAGCAGTGGGCTCTGGAAGGTATGCTAATCACCACCTTTTTAAAGAAAACATTCTTATGTGACATGGCCTCGGTGGCACAGGGCCCCACTTTTTGGCAGAAAATATATAATTTCTATGCAAATTTTTGTATGATCGGCTTCCTTGCAATTCATATTTCTATTCATCTTACTAGTGCCCCCCTCCCCCCACTCCACATTGAAAAATGTTCAGCCAGCCCTGTGTGGTTATCAGTTAATAGTATTAATGCCAATTACAGCATGAACAGGAAATTATATTTGATACCCTACACTAGAATGAGTGAATGACCAGTGATTTGAACTTCTTTTTCTAATGACTAAACCTTCAACATAGTGAATTGCATTACATTATTTTATTTATTTAAGAGGGCCACCTAATATCAGCTGGGTCAACCTCAATAAATACTGTATAGTAATAAAAATAATATGGTCTGGCTGTATGGGTTTGTTTTTGTAGGATCAAATCCAATTGTGGTCAATATGCTTTTGTTATGTAGTCTATACACTTTTTCTCATCCATAGGTACAGTATGATAATATCTCTACTTTCACTTTTTTTATCAGGGTTGTCAAATCTAGCGGTGGCTTCATATGATGAAGATACGTATGGGGTTGTGCAACAGTCATTACCAGAAATAATCTCAGCAATGCTTGCCCTTCATGTGGTAAGTGCAGAAGAGTTATATTGATTCATTTCATAGGAATCATTTTCGCTGTCTACATCAAAGCTTGTGTTAAACATGTCAATGATTTTTTTTTTGGGCTGGTGCTGGGAGCAGACGGCATCCTCTACACCACCCTCTAGGATCAATTACTGTATGCAAGCTAGTCTCTAAAAGGCTACATTAGAGACAGTGGTTCTAATTGGGAACCAAGCTCAGGACCAATGACATGGATCTTGTCGAGAAGAGAAATACAGTATATCATTTGGGGGCTCCAGCACAGATATGACAGCAGTATTCAAAACCAAGTCTAATGAAATATACCACATTTTGTGGGGAAAGAACGTGGTGTAAAGAATATGCGAATATTTTTTTAAATGATTGTTCTTACTCATATTGTCAGAATAAGTGTTTGTTGTGCTGACTGGGATTCTAGCATATTTAAGTAAAAATACAGAATGCTTACAGCATGTTGTCTGCTATGTTAACCACCAAATAACAGTTCCATTGATGAATATAAATTTATGTATTTATCATATTAATTAACATGTTATCCCTTTCTTTAGGCCATGAGTAAGTATTCTAAACTCAGTCAAAGCCCGAGCTCAATCCATACTAAAAGCGCTTCATCACGACAAGATAGTGCAGTACACAAGCTACAGGCTGCTCTACAGGAAACACTGACGACATCAATTCACCGTATAGTTGCGAAGTTTAGACATCACCTGAAGTAAGTAATATCAAGTATGTATAATACATACTCCGAGTATCGAAATGCCCGCCATCGTGTCGTGATTCAATATTTCAACATTAATAATGTCATCATCAGGACACAGTGGCATGCATTTCGATACTCGGAGTGTGTATTATACTGTCTTATCTAAGATTAATCAGTGAACCTTTCAGTTATATCAAGTATCTGTAGGAAATTGAGCATTATTACCTCTGGTCACTGGATAACATACAATGGCAAACCAGCACAAAGTGCAACCTTCTCTGCTCCCTGGTGAGTATGCCTAGTCATGCTCCTTTTGCCTTTATATGTTATTCAATGACCAGAGGTAATAATAATAATGCTCAGCGCCTTTGATCATATAATTTGGAATTGGCGCTATATAGATATTAAATTATTATTATTATTATTATTATTATTATTATTATTGATGAATTATTTATTGTTCTTATTTTCAGAGGTGTTCAACTCTCAACTGAAGATGAACGGAGACTTTCACAGTTCATCAACTACATAGAATAAGTTTGTATAAGTTAACTGAAAGATTTAAAAATGTCTTTACTATAATCATGATGTATATACAGCATGCATGTTAAACATGTATTTTCATTATTGGCGAAATTGATAATGAAGTTGGTTTTTCTATTGTCATATTAAATGTTGGTGAGAAAATTACCTTTGTTTTATTTTCGTTCTTTAATTTTTGATGTGATTAATTCTCAACAAGCCATCAAGGCAACAGTAGGAAATACACAGCACCGACAATCTTGTAATTCTTGATGCTCACATTTTATTCACTTAAAAATATAAGTTGACATGATCATAATAATAATGATAATTAAAAAACAATGATTTAACTCGTGTAGCTGTTGAAAGAAAGGTTATAGTAAACATTTATTCAACTTAAGCAGGTTACTACTAAAAGAAAAAAAAGTACATTTATTGGTTTAATTGAAGAGAGGTAAACGTTGGGTTAGTGTTTTAATGGAACATAAAACATAAGCCTGTCAGCTTTTGCAGGGTAAATATAACTAACTCTTTCAACTGACCGTAATGCTTCACTGCAATAAGTGAAGATCATTAGGGAAAGTAAACCACGCCCTCTATGTCAAGGAAAAGTTAAAATTATTTTTGTAACAGGCTCACTTCATCAAGTAGTGTACACATTAACAATAACAATATATATTATACCAGTGTTCAACGACACAGTCACGCGTAATGTGTAAGTCTATTCTAATTATTTTATTTACACCTTTTATAATTACTTTATAATAACCCGTGTACCACTTCGTCAAACAAATACTGCTCCTATTCTCCTACCGTAACAGACTTTAGTTATTAATTGTAAATAGTCTCTTAATAAACATATTTTTAGCTATTTTGATTCGAATACAATATTTTCCACCCCCGATTATTCTTATCGTAATTTTGACAGATCCATTTCAAGGGTGTGTGGATTAATGAGAGCATCACAATAATTATTCTGTACACCTGAGGAGAAAACACTTAAATTGCACTTGTATTTAATTCAATTCAGTTCACAAGGTTTACATGAAGATAGCACTTAAGGTATAGGAAGTTTAGAATAAAAGAAAATCATATAACATTTAAATAATAAACCAGATGGAACTTGTAGCCATATATAGAACTCTGGCCATCTAATCACATGCGACATTAGTGCTATGTCAAAATTTGTGATGTCAGACACGTTAAAAATAATGATAGAAATTCAGACTTACTAGCATGTGGATTCACCACATTGCTTTTGTGGTCAAGACGTTTGTCATAAATGTTAAACTTCCCAGTCTCTCGGTAGAGGCTGGGTGTTCTTAACCGATCTCTGACCGTCTATCGCATGCCACATTAGTGATATTAAAATACACATACAGCAGGTACTTTTTTATATAGGTGGTAAAGAAAACATTAAATGGACGTGTTATATAGGTGGTGTATATATAGGGCAAAACATCATTCCTATATTTTTACTATTTTTTCCCATACATAGCACACACACACACACACACACACACACAGCAATGCTGAAATAGATATACTAAGCAAAATGGAGGAAGTCATGTAATTCCACCAACTAGAGAACAGACATGAAAAAATAATTTCAAATAAACAAAAAAAAAAATATAGGCCTACCTCATGAATATAAAAATATATTATATAGAGTATTCTGTCAATAAATTAAAATAAAATATATCGTATGGTAGTGAAATGTATATTTTGAGTAATCTCTTTAAAAATCGTTATGTTCTAAGATAATTGCAAAATAATGGTAATAATTAACATTATTAAAACAATTTATAAAAAATGAATAATAATTAAGAAATTAAACTGTACCAAAATAGACAATCGAGAACATACATATATCGAAGGACAGCAATAAACCAGTCTACTAAGCCCCGCTCCTGGATATTGTTGCTAGACATAAACGTACATAATATATTGTGTGGGCATGCACGTACTCTGGCCCTTGTTCTTCTTTTCTTTTTTTGGCTTGACTGACACTCGGGAAACATCCAGAGATGGAATATGGTTGAGAAACCAACAAACCTACTAATTTCATATTGATAAAAGTCCACTTTCATTGACAATATAACTTACATTGTCTCTTCATCTTCCAATTATTATTTCATTTTTGTATCTTTGTATATTTGTGGTAATAAATATGATATGCAAAATATGTCGTGCTTATCCTAAGTCTAAAATCATTTTGTAAATAGTAGCTGTTTTCTCCCTCCAGATCCAACATAATGAATATGCTTTAGATTTCCTAACATTCAAGGTGTGTAGGCCTACTTCAATATGATGTGAAGAAGATAGCAATACCGACTAGAAGGGCAATACCAGCCATCGCGAAATTGATTACACGAATATAAATCGTTGCACGACTTAATTCGAAGCCTTTGCCGGATTCTTGAACCAGAGGCACTTTTTCCGAAATTTCTCTTCCTGTTTCCATTTCCAAAAACATATCTTCTTTTGATTTAAGTTCATTAAGGTTTCCGTCAAGAGCTTCTGATTTGATAATGCTCAGTCTTTCCTGACTCTAATAGCAGAGATGAAATTAAATTATATATATGATTGAACAAAGAATAAGAATGTACTCATATAGTTTTTAAATATAAGTGTCTTCAGGACAGGGAACATACATTGCTAAATTGAATATGTGATTGATTCAAAGTGAGCCATTTCAATAAAAAAAAAAGGATGCTTACAAACGTTTAGGTCTAAAACAGACGGGTGTAGTTGTGTAGGCCTACATTAGATTTCATTTAAATATGTTTTGTTTCGATAGTCAAAAAATATTGAAAAATACTAAATATTCTCACCAAAGTAGCTTCCCTGTCCCAGTCGATAGTGAGCGTGTAAGTGAAAAGGCATATAGCCTGCGATCCATTCCCAAGGCACAGACCAATCCACATACCTATAAAAAATTAAATTATTATTATTATTAAAAATTAAATTATTATTATTATTATTATTATTATTATTATTATTATATAACCTTAATAATGGTATGGTATTTGCTATCATACTAAAATCCGTCATATCGAGTTCACGATGGATGATAGGCGATAGGGGCGATATGCCCTAGACGAGATAGGCCTACAATAGGCGACAGGCGCTGGACGATAAATGATAGATGACAGACAATAGATAATATGATAATAAATAATAAATACAGTAATGACATCATTAATATAAATACTAATGTCCGTAAGCACCAGGCGCGGGAAGTTGTTACGTGGGTGTGAAACGCGTCCCACGTGCGTACCTTTGATTGTAATTGGCTCTGTACATAAATAGAGTACAGTAATGGCATTATAATGGCCTTTAAATATAGGGGAACGGCGTCAAGTAATACTAACCCATGGCTTTCATTCTGCGAAACATAACCAGGTAAACACACACCGGCAAACCAATGAAATAGTAGCTTATAAAGGCTATCAATGCTCCAGCACCCTGCCGACCACATCCCTGTAAGGCACCCTTCGCTACATTCTGGTCAAAAATAAAACATTCACATACATTCTTTTTAATTTTCTTTCCTTTAGGCACATGGCCTAGGATTACCAATAGCGACTTAATCACTGTCCTATTATAGAAGGCAATCCCTTCAAATGATGAACATAAACACATGATGCTTTACATATACCCACGGTGGCGCAGCGCCTCCCTCTCCCCCCACCCCTTGTCGGAGAGAAAAACCACAATTCGTCGGGGAGAAAAAAAATGTATATGTATTTTCTACATATTAGTAAATTCCAAAATTGATTAAATAAGCCTTCGAACACTTTCGAGCGATTTTGAGCGACGCCCGACAACGCCCACTTTTTTTTCCGTCAGGGCACCAGCAGCCACTGCCTACCCTGCCTTGGGGCCAGTCGCACAATTACTGTTCTGTGACAAAATAATCATTTTGTCGACAGAAAGACACATTTCGTCGACAAAATGACTATTCTATTTCAAAATATCAGCTCGTCTGTCGACAAATGGATGATTGACAGAAGAACTTTTCACTTTCAAAGAAAAGCCATTTTGTCGACAAAAGAGTTCGACAAAATTGCCAATGTGTCACAGGACAGTTCTGACAACAAAGGAAGTTATTTTTTTACAAAATAGTCCTGTTGACCTCAGTTTGACGTTCCAGAAAATTAATCTATACGAAAAGTATGGCAAGGAAAAAAGGTATTATTTTGCTATCGAATGCTACAAATATCAAATTTCGCATGATATTAAATCCCCCAAATTACACAACAGGGATCTATAATACCTCGAACTGCTCTAACTCTTTCCAATACAATTTATATATATCATTATGGAATAGTATTATCTTCGTTTATAAATTAGTAATTAATAATTGCCATCTTGTTATTCTAAAAAATTATTTCCACCAGAGTGCGCCCAATTCATGACCCTATTGATATGTATAGTCCTTCTATTCAGTACCGGTACTGATTTTGACTATTTTTACAATAGTAAATTTTTGTTTTGTTTATGGTGTTACCAAATATTAGGACCTAAATGTAAGTCTACTATTATACACTTAAAATAGATCAGTTATTGACAGACATTGATAATCTAGTTGCACCAGTTAACCATGAATGTTAATAGGAGAGTTATAAATAAGAGATATTAAATAACCTAGATAAGAGAAGAATGGTCTCTCTCGCTCCAAGCTAAATCACATAAGACCCCAAATACACGATGGAAATGGGCCAATGACTGTACCGTCGATTTGTTCTCTTAGGCCTAATTCTAGTCCGTCTTGTGCCGTCAATCAGATCAATCAACCCATGATTTCTCCCTGAGAATAGTAGTGTCAAAGTCGTCGACATGTGCCTTAAGTGACCAGTGTCGGTGCTATGGGTACAGCCTCCACCGTCGGGGGAGGCTTTGCACCCCACAGACCGTTTGCTCATTGAAGGCATTGTGTTGGTTACGCTACGACCGTCACAATTCCAAGCAAGTTGGTTTGGAGGTTTTGCTAGGCAGTGATCTGGAATCGGTTTTGTTACAGGTGGAAGTGAGTTCCAAAGTTTCCGTGCAAGAAATAAAATGAGTGTTGGTTGGTTTTGACAACTTTTAAGCGGGAGTGGTGCGAGTAGATATAACGTGATATCAGAGAGATAGCCAGGGGCAAAGTTTTTGATGCATTTATGTACAAGGAGGAAGGTTACTGTACTTTGTTTTTGGATTGTGCGACAATTTCACAACTTCCCATGCCCAGATATGGCACACTTCCATTTTTTAATGCAAAATTCTTGGAGTGCGAGCCCGTACTTCTCCTATCTAGGTTTTTGTCATTGGAAATAGTAATTATATATACCGTAAATGATCAGATAAGCAACTTTCTCGAATATTCTGAATAAACTTTGATGCGCTTAATCAAGAAAACATATTGCCCTACCAACATGCCTTATTACTTATTGCTTTGAGGTTTCGTGTCAACTGGGCACTTTAAAAATTAAACAACAATTTCTCATGAATTTAAAAAAAAATCAAACAGATAGGTATAAGTGAACATCGTACCATTTAAGCTTTCCAATAATTTGTAACTTGTAAGCACCGCTCTTAAATAAGCATGTGTCTTAAAGTTAACGAAGTATCCAAAGTGATATAGCGCAGCGACGATTATTCTGTCATTTACGGTAGATGGAATCAAATGATTATTATCATTATCAAGAAACTGGTGCACATGCGTAGTAAAAGAAAAAATATTAACCACAAAATATAATACATACGCTTGTCAGGTCACTTATCTCAAAAATGACTAATATAGGAACAATATTTGCAATTGATGCAACAACTGTTCTGTTAAATGGGATGATAAAGATGAAATGTAAACAAATATTTTTTTGACTGAATTTCTAAATCAATTTTTCTCTATTATACAAAAAAGAAATGTATATATATATAGGGCTATAT